GGGGTAGCTCGGGGAATGACAAACTTGCTATCAGAGCATTAGGTTTAAGTGTCCTAGGATGTTTGAAAAGCCGCACTAAGTAGATTCCTTTTCATGGGTGTGAAGTGCACCACATCTAATCAGAGGGAGGCAATGAAGTGTTTCAGAAAAACTTTACTTTCTTGATATTCTTATCGTGCGTAAGGTATGATCTAACTCTATTCTAACTCGACGTTCTACATTTCAGCGATCATGCTTCCCCGTAGAGCTAACACTAGGAATGCGAATGCCAGGAATGCTAACACTGTTCCTCTAGTCCCAGATCAGAGAGTTTCGAATGCAGAGTTTCAAAACACTATTCAACCTTTCGCTTATAGTATGAATAATCAGAACAATCAGCAGGTTGGGGAGATAAGCTTAGGGAAATTGCTAAGGTAACCAAGAAAGCTAGAACAGGGAACTATGAGTACTCTCAGCAGAAATCGAGTGGTGGAAATCACTCACAGTTTCGACAAGATAAGAATAGTAGGGCACCAGGCTCTAAGCCTCAGGGAAGTGTTTCAGGAAATAGGACCTACCCAACTTGTCCAAAGTGTGGTAAGAACCATCCATGCGAGTGTCTTGCAGGCAAGAAAGGATGTTTTGGGTGTGGCCAGTCTGGTCATGCCTCTATACCTTTGGTCGGGTATATTGGGTCCTATCGATGGGACGTATACATCGGACTCCACATTTAGCTCATGTGGTTTTATGTCGGTTATTAGTAGCTCCCACAGTTCAGTCAAACTCTATTGCATTGACCATATTTCAGTACATCCAGTATTCTGTCTCAACATGTTATAAATTGGTCATTGCATTCAGTTAGCTCAGTATTCAGTATCTATATCATGTTTAGATTATTTCATTGCTTTATTGGTTTGTTCATTTATATGTTATTTCAACTTTACTCTATCCTGAATGCTCAGTACCTTTCAAGTACTGACGCATACGTGCGCTACATCTTCTCGTGATATAGGTTTAGGTTCTCAGCATCCAGATCACGCTTAGATCGATTTCCTATCTTCAGTTCAGCAGCATCAGTGATGAGTCCTCATTCTTCGAGGACTAGTGACATGTTTATCTTTATCGCTTTTAGTCTTTAGTTTCTGTTTTGCTAGATCTAGTTGGGGCATGTCCCAACATTTCTAGTTAGTTTAGAGGCTTATTTCAGACATAGTTAGATTCAGCTTAGTATTGAGTTAATATCTTCTTTGTATTAAACTCATCAGTTTTCATTTATCTCAGTTATAGTATATGGGTATTCCCCATCCTTTCATGTTATTTATGATTTAGCTTCCGCATCAATTTATTATCTTTAGTATGCTCATGATCATGCCAGCAGGGTTAGCTTGGGATCACTTGTGGTCCTAGGTCCCGTGTCCGCGTCTCGGGGGTAGCTCAGGGCGTGACAGTAAGGGGCCTTTCTTTATCTAGTGTATATATACATATATATATATATATATATATTTATATAGGGAATTCCAAATAAAGTGATTGACAAATCAAAGTATCAAAGTTTGAGTTCTCAAATGAAAATAAATAAAAAGAACTTGAGTAGAGATGAAAATGATTGCAACAATATTTTGAAAAGGTGAAGCCACTGAGCCAGATTGACGATACCTTAACCCTCATCCTCATTACAAGCCTAAAAGATCCTTGAGATCTTTCATGAACTGGGTTGTGTGATGATTGGAAAATATAGGCAAATCTATGAGATGAATCTTGCATGTATTTCTCTTTTGAGAGAGTGAGAGTAACATTGATTCCTTACTTCTTTATTGATTTTCTTTGTGAGAGCATGAAATTGTTCTTGATGTGAGGGTTTGTTATAATATGGTCTTGCATTAGAAAAGAAGCTATAATGAGCTTGAGCTTGTGTTGAGACCGGCTAGTCGATCATTTGAAGCTTCTATATCAGTGTAGCATGTTGTTGAGAGTCGTCTTGTAATGACACTTGCATATTAGCTCTCATTGAGAACTGCCGTAGACACCCTTGTTGAGCTGATTGTGTTCTTGATTTACTTGAGGACAAGAAAAAGTTTAAGTTTGGAGTGTTGATGAGTGGTAGATTTATACTCATTTGAGGCCTATTTAACTCAACAATTAGTTTCCTCAATGTCTAATTATGTCATATTCTAATAATATTTTGATTATTTCAGCTATGTGGCTAAAGGACAAGGCAAAAATGAATGTTTGAAAGAATGACCAAAAATATGAAAAGAAGTGTAAACTCCATATTGTTGATCGCCTAGAAAGAAGGGCAGATCGCCCAATGGGTATGACCTCACTCAAAGAGACAATGCACAACACTTGAATTAATTGAGGCAGGTCGACGAACCAAAAAAGGAAAGGCGATTCGCCGAATGAGAAAGGCAAACATGTTGACCCTCGTCAAAAGGAACAGTACATGAAGAAAAATTGAAGGCTTGAAAGGTGAACACAGATGGTACTTGTTGATACACCAAATGTGAAGACAAACTCAAACGAGCTCGCCGATTGAGGTTCAAACACCTGAAGCCTAGAGCAATAGAAAGGCGACCTGAAGAGTTGTTGGCGATTTGCCTAGTATGATCGGCGATCCCGACTAACGTCGCCCAATAGGTCACGTATTGATTTTTGGGTCAAATTTTGGGGAAATTATAAATAACCTAAAAGAGAGAGAAAGTGGAGAGTTTAGAGTTTCGATGTCCTAAAAATATTTAGAGAATTCTGATTCTTATCTTAGAGAGAGAAAGACTTGCTTTGTGAAGCATACTTTTAGTCTTTGGGGTTTTTCAACTTTTGCTCTTAAAAGTGACAATTTGAAGTTGAAATTCAAAGTGGGTATCGCTTGTAATTGCTAATTTCATGTTACCCATGACTTCTTTCATGGAAGGTATAATTTCTTTACTCTTCGTGATGGGTGGCTAAAACCCCAAAATCTAGGGGTTGGGTGTTGATTTAATGTAGTGGATATTGTGTTATGCTCTATTTTGTTGTTGTTCATACATGGATTTGGGTTAATTAGCATGGGGTTAACTTATGCGTAAAGCTTAATTCCTACTCTTGTTCTTTGATTTATGCTCAAAAGAGATTGATTGGAATAGGTAATTAGTCTGATACTTGCAACTTAGGTTTGATGTCTGTAACTTGTTTGAAAATAGAGGTTATGGGTCAAATCTATTTGTCCTATTACTGCATCAAAAGAGAGAATAGTTTAAGGTATTGGGTTGTTCAATATAGCACATAGATGAGATAGAAAGGAGATTCTATGAAATGATGTTATGAGATCGAAAGAAGATTAATATCATTGAAGATGACCAAGCCTATCCATGAATGTTCATCACTATTGAGAAACATAATTAGCCCTACGTGGCATTGATTTCCAATCCCCGCACCCCTAGATTACTTGTTACTTATTTGAATTTATTATTGAATCTTGGCTTAATTGTGAATTTTGATAACTAAATCCTTTTATTAAATTTGGTGGAATCATCCATCCACTTGTTTTTACTGCTGCAATTGAATGAATTTACACTATGGGATTTGAACCCGACTCTTAGTTGGGTACTTTTATTGACGACGACCACTTACTCTTTTAATTGGTTTTGAATAGTAGTTTGAGCGTTATTATTGGGCCACTTTAGGTAATTTTGCAATGTTGGTCTAGAAAAGTGGTAAAGAAATGTTATGGGATGTTAGCTGATGCAATTTTCCCTATAATTTTAGAATTCATTTTTTGGCTGTGATCAACGCAAGAGTGATGAAAGGTTTGGGTGATTTGACCATTAAGGTAAATAAGAAATGATTCATGACTTCGATCTCAAAAGTGAGTCTTATTATGTTTAGAATAACATAACATGGTCCAAATTAACTCACCATTGCAGTAGGACGAAATTTGGAGATATTTTAACCCCCTCTTGGTAGAAGCCCTAGTATGGAAACATGGAAAGTGTAAAAATTTCACAAAAGGGTTATTTGTAGTTTGTCTACGCCTGCCATGTATAGATCTGATCACAACTGAAGAATTTGGGAGATATTACACCACGAAAGTTGAGTTGCAATTGTAGTACATAAGGGTTAGACTTAGGACAAGTATGTTGCAATCATAGTATTATGGCAGTGATTGCAACCTTGTTAGGCTTGGATTCCAGTAGATACTGCTAGGAGAACACACGTAGTTGTAATCTTAGCACTTGTGAGGTAAGGGAGGGTCTTGGACTCCATGTTTGGCTATGATCGCATCAAGTGTGCTGAGATTGTAGATCTACTATGCCCAAATCTCAACACTTGCTGCCTCAGTATCCTTCTTAGCTGTGTTTTTTGGCTTTGTCTACCTCCTTAGTGTTGTGCAGCGAGCACAACACCTTTTTTGTGATCATAGAACAACACCACGCACATGCATTGTATCACCACGTCAAACACACACATTTATAGCCTTACAACTCAAAAACACCCACACTAAGCATTGTGAGAACTAAAGACATTCAAAAGAGCTCCAAAAAGTAATGTGCGTTATATTTTCCTCCAGAATAGTATGTAAAACAAGTCATGCAAGTTGTGGCCAAGATATTTGAGTACGTCACACGCAAGTGAATATACCTGTGTTATCTGCGAATTTTCTTGTTCATACTGGCAAACAACTTCTTTGAAGGAGAACTTAGTATTTTAGCTGGGAGGAGGATGGCATGCACTGGATCATGCATGATTTCCGTAATATAAAAACATGAAATAGCGGATGTACGGATGACAACTCTGATGGAAAAGCAAGATTGTATTAAAATACATCATAAGACTCACTAATTTCGGTACTAAATTGAATTTAGAGCTTCTAACTGGACATTTGGTGAAAAGAAAATTCCCTTGTTTATTTATCTATCCACGCCAATAAGAAGAAAAATGGCAAGGTTTCCTTTGATATACACAAGTTGTGATCAGCTAAATGAGAAATAAATGTAGAATCCATCCATTTGGACCCATTGCATCAATCTTCAAGAACATATCGATTCCGTCTAGCACCAAACGCGATCCTTTGTAGGTCAATACAAAATCATGATATCATTATATAGAAATCAGGAGTCACTGTGTCAGAGACCCAAAGGAAAGAGGCGAACGAAATTAGAGGAGCAAAAGTGCTCCACTTAACTGAAAATATTTGGGAATAGGCTTTTAATCCTGTGAGGAAACGTATGTAAGTAGCCTTCGTTGATCCATTGGTCGGTATTGATCTTATATTTGGGACTAAATACTCTGCAACCTGTAAAAATAGAAGCATAGATGAAGCCACGGGAAATAAGACAACTGTGGTACGAGTGAGGACGCGACAAATTTCATATTCATTTAATCTGTTCCTGGTGAAACTTTTCACCTGCCTATGATCAAGCAAATATTTCATTTTGAGGCAACAAATAGAGAATCAACTACTACTTAAGATATTGGAATTCTCACCACATCTGTTGGCTCTGCCAAAACGTTAATGAAGAACTTGGCCTGCATTAAGCATAAAGTTGTTTTAAAATTTTCTTTTTCAGAACCGGCAGACCCCAAATGAAAGAACATAAGGAATAGTTAATCAGCATTCTACCTGCTTCGTGTTGGCACCGGACATTAAAAGATCAGTTGTGACCATTCCAGGCTGCAAGTGAGTGGAGTGTGGGTTTAGATAATGGAGACAAATGATAGAGAAATAAAGAGATGTCAAGCAGTCACATTGACAGTCCAAACAAAGACATTATATAAAAACAGGCCTTAATTTGCCAAAAAAAAACAAACAAAAATAGTATATATATATTCTAGAATATATAGCAGAATGACTAATATTCAAGCATGACAGCTTCTTGTTCTAGATCTCCATCAATCTAGGAATATTCCCTGCATTGCATTATTTTGTCTACTAACAGGAACTGATATCATTTGAGATTATTCAAAAATGAAGGAAAAAAGCCCCATTACAAAAGCAACAACGTATTTGATGTATTTGTGCTCTCAATGTAAATAATTTTTGAATCTCAACTGAAGTTAACATAGGTCCTCAGTCCAACTACCTCATATAGGAAATATATACATTTTTGCAATATAACTTTTATCTACCACATTTAAGTTCTAAAACAAAATAAGAAATTAGGTCAGTGGATCTTGCAATCTATCCATTATGAAAAATCAGCCGCCGACAACAATCTTTCATGTTCTCAACACAAAAGCTTTAATTTGCACCACCATTGAGACAATCAAGAATCTACAATTTATCACCTTTCATTAACATGCAAACCATTCAAGGAAGTTATCAAGGTGGCAAGACAGTAAGGGGCTGTTTGGTAGAATAGCATGCATTACATAATTATTTTTAAAAATATTTGCTTACCAAGATATCCTCCACAAATAGGGTAGAAAAGATGTAAAAAAAGTTTTGGGAGGCAATCGAGTCTTTAACCATGTTAATGCATGCATTAAATCACCTTTCATTACTAATACTGTGAATTTCTATGTATTTAGTAATACTCTTCAATACAAAATAGAGTGTATTAGTTATACATAGGTTGAAAAAATGTACCAAACAAGGTATTATTAATACACAAAGTTATGCATGCATTATTTCTTCTAATACACTCTACCCAATGGCCCCTAAATGCATAAATCTATTGCTTGAGCACCATCAATAAACAATTCAGCCATAATATCTCGAGATCCTTCTAAACTTTACACCTTTAATTAGTGCACATCTACTAAATTATTTTTGGTCTTAATTTCTCCCCTTGGCTATTTGGTAGCTCCTTTTGGCTAGTACAACAACATTGTTAGAATAAGAATAAATATATAAATCCTACTTAGAATCGAAATTAGAATAGGAATAGGAATAGGAATCCTAATTTGACAAGGAATTCAATGTAGTGTTTATAAATAGGGTCTCAATGTAATAATGTCGATACACAATTTCAATAATATATTTCTCCTAAATTTCTCACACATGGTATCAGAGCAATGGTGAGAAAATTAAATCAGCCATCACTGTGCAGTTTTCTGGTGACCTAAATTGCTACTCGAGAAGATAAATTTTCTGGCAGTGTTTTTCAACAATTTTCTTTTTCCAGTGGAGTCACCTCCTAATTCCAAGGCCGACCATATAATTTTTTCCTGATTCTGATCAGTTTTTGGTGATTAGATCTCTTTATCCGGCAGTTAGATCTATTCCAAGATCGGTTTTTGGTGATCAGATCTCTTTTTCCAGCAGTCAGATCTATTTACAAAAGTTCCAGTTCCGGCAGTCAGCCGTTCCAGCAATCAGATTCCGTCCCCAAAATTCTTCTTATTTTATTTTTTTGGTGAGAATATTCTAATTTCACAATATGTCGTTCGGGATTGATATTTTTGGCTCCAAGAATATTGGAAGTTCAAGTGCTATGATCACTACATAACCCATTAATGGGAAGCTCAAACTATTTAGCATGGGCTTCTTCGGTTGAGTTGTGGTGCAAGGGCCAAGGCGTCGAAGATCACTTAACCAACACTGCTTGTGTTGTAGATGAAAATGCAAAGGCTAGTGAGGCAGATAATAAAGCCAAAGCACTATGGGAGATGGTTGATGCTCAATTATGTAGTCCCCTATCACGATCTATCGATTCAAAGTTAATCACCTTGTTTCACCCATCCCAAACATGTTATTCAGTTTGGGAAAAGGCTCGTGCTTTATGTACTGATGATATATCTTGATTTTATGATGTGATATCTAGAATGACCAATTTAAAGAAACACAAATCTGGTATGTCTACTTACTTAGGACAGGTACAAGCAGTTATAAAGGAATGTGAAACGTTAATGCCAGTCACTACAAATGTGAAAAAAAACAACAAGAGCACATACAAACGTTGTTTCTAGTTCTTACACTTGTTGGACTTCCTCCTGATCATGATTCAGTGCATGATCAGATTTTAGCTAGTCCTGCCGTACCTATGAAGGATGAATTATTTTCTCGTCTAGCCGTACCTCCCAGCAACAAAGTAGTTTCATCATCCACCATTGACTCCTCTATTTTGGCATCTCAAACCATAGACAAACGAATGTATCCGCCTATGGAGAATCGGCGAAGAGGTCGTTTTGGAAGATCTCGATTCACGTGTAGTTATTGTCATAAGCTTGGACACACTCATGACATATGTCATATTTTGTATGGTCCACCACCCAAACATTAATGATCCTACAGCTATAAAGGAATATAATGAGTCCCTTCAAAATCGCGCAAGTAAGCAAACATCTCCACAAGTAGCATCTGTTGCTTAGCCTGATCGACCACCCAATAATGCTCATATTGCTCAGGCAGAATATGATGAGTTCCTTCAATATCGAGCAAGAGAGCAAACAACTCCACAAGTAGCCTGGTTACTCAGCCTAATGTTCATGTTGAGGGTAATTCTTATGCTTGTGTGTCACAGTCTAGTACTCTTGGATCATTTGTCATGGACTAAAGCACTTCTGATCATATATTTGTGATTGATTTGTTTATTCACAATCTCTTCCCGCTATTACTCTGGCCAATGGAATCCAAACAAAATCAAAAGGGGTTGGAAATGCCAAACCACTCACTTTTGTCCCTCTAGACTCTATTATTTATGTTCCTGGTTCTCTTTTTAATCTAGCATCTGATAGTCGTTTGATGCGTGCCCTACATTGTCGCATAACCTTTTTTGATGATTCTTTTCTCATGCAGGACTGTAGTACGGGACAAATGATTGGCAGAGGACATGAATCACAAGGCCTTTACTATCTTAGCTCTTCAAATTCCTTCACCTCATGCTCCGTTACAGATCCTCCAGCTCTAATTCACAAACGTTTGGGACATCCGAGTCTATCCAAGATACAGAAGATGGTGCCTAGTTTGTCTAGTTTATCCACATTAGATTGTGAGTCATGTCAACTTGGGAAACATATTCGTGCTACATTTTCCTGTAGTACTGAGAGTCATTCAAAATCTATTTTTTCGTTAGTTCATTCTGACATTTGGGGTCCTAGTAGAGTCAGTTCACCCTTAGGTTTTCATTATTTTGTTAGTTTCATTGATGATTATTCAAGATGCACTTGGGCTTTCTTAATGAAAGATTATTCTGAGTTATTTTCTATATTCAAAAGTTTCTTTGTCGAAATACTAAATCAGTTTGGTGTTTCTATTCGAATAGTGATAATGCCTTAGAATACATATCCTCTCAGTTTCACGAATTTATGACTCACCAAGAAATTATTCATCAAACATCTTGTCCGTACACCCCTCAACAGAATGGTGTGGCAGAAAGGAAGAATAGACATCTCATTGAGATTGCTCGCACTCTCTTCATTGAATCCCATGTTCTGCTATGTTTTTGGGGTGATGCAATCCTTGCATCTTGTTATTTGATTAGAATGCCCTCATCTTCTATTCAGAATCAAGTTCCACATTCCATATTGTTTCCTCACTTACATCTATACTCTATCCCCCCTCGTGTCTTTGGGAGCACATGCTTTGTTCATAACTTAGCCCCGAGTAAAGATAAATTAGCACCTCGTGTTCTTAAACGTGTCTTTCTTGGTTACTCTCGAGTTCAAAAAGGGTACCGTTGCTAATCACTTGATCTTCGTCAATACCTTATGTCCACCGATGTCACATTCTTTCAGTCTCAACCTTATTATACCTCTTCTGATCATTTTGATGTCTTTGAGGTCTTACCCATACCTCAGGTCTTACCTGTACAAACTTTTAAGGAATCTACAGTTACTTCTTCATCTCCCGTGGTAGTGCCACAACTTCTGACTTATCATCATCGTCCACGCCCAACACTAGTCCTAGATGATTTATGTCATGCGCCGGACCCTGCTCCTACTGCAGACTTGCCTCCTTCTAGTCAACCGATTGCACTTCAAAAAGATATACGATCCACTAGAAATTCTAACCCACATTATACTTTCTTGAGTTATCATCGTCTCTCATCACCCTATTATACCTTTGTATCATCTTTGTCCTCTATTTCCATTCCTAAGACTACAGGTCAAACACTTTCTCATTCTGGATGGAGGCAGACTATGATTGATGAGATGTCTGCTTACATTTGAGTGGTACTTGGAGCTTGTCTCCCTTCCTACAAGTAAATCTACTGTTGGATGTCGTTGGGTTTATGCGGTCAAAATTGGTCCGGATGGTCAAGTCAATTGGCTTAAGGCTCGCCTTGTTGCCAAAGGGTATACTCAAATATTTGGGCTAGACTATAGTGACTTTTTCGCTCTTGTGGCCAAAATAGCATATGTTTGTCTTTCTCTATCTATGGTTGTCGTTCGTCATAGACCTCTTCATCAGTTGGACATTAAGAATGTTTTTCTGCATGGTGATCTTGAGGAAGAAGTCTATATAGAGCAACCACCTAGTTTTGTTACTCAGGGGGAGTCTAGTAGCCTTGTATGTCGATTGCGTTGGTCACTCTATGGTCTAAAACAGTCTCCCCGAGCTTGGTTTGGAAAGTTTAGCACAGTAATTCGAGAGTTTAGGCATTACTCGTAATGAAGCTGATCACTCTGTGTTTTACCGACATTTTAGACCAAATTGGTGTATTTATTTGGTTGTTTATGTTGATGATATTGTTATCACTAGAAACGATCAAGATGGTATCACTAATTTGAAGCAACATCTCTTTAAGCATTTTCAGACTAATGACCTTGGCACACTGAAGTATTTTCTAGGTACCGAGGTTGCTCGGTCTAGATTAATTATTGTTATTTCTCAGCACAAGTATGTCTTAGACATTCTTGAGGAGACAAGAATGATGGGATGCAGACCCATTGACACTCCGATTCCAGGATAGGGGGAGCCACTCCGTAATCTTGAAATGTATAGACGGTTGGTTGGAAAGTTGAATTATCTTACAGTGACTAGACCTGACATCTCTTTTTCTGTGAGTGTTGTAAGTTAGTTTATGACTTCCCTTTTTGATAGTCATTGGGAAAAAATTATTCGTATTCTGCAATATATAAAGTCTGCTCCTGGTAAAAGACTACTCTTCGAGGATCAAGGCCATGAGCATATCACTGGATTTACATATGTTGATTGGCAGGATCACCCTCTAATAGATGTTCGAAATCGAGATATTGTGTTTTAGTATGAGGTAATTTGGTGTCCTGGAAGAGTAAGAAACAGAGTGTGGTTGCTCGATCTAGTGCAAAATTAAAATGTAGAGCAATGGATGCAACAACTTGTGAGCTAGTTTGGATCAAACAGTTGTTGATAGCTAAAATTTGGCGAAATCGGTCCGATGGAACTTGTGTGTGATAATCAAGCGACCCTTCATATCGCATCAAATCCAGTGTTTAATGAAAGGACTACGCACGTTGAGATTGACTGTCACTTTTTGTTAGAGAAAAGATACTCTCAGGAGATATTGTTACAAAATTTGTGAAGTCAAATGATCAACTTGCAGATATCTTCACCAAGTCCATCACCGGACCTCGTATTAATTAAATCTTAACAACCTAAGTACATATGATTTGAATGCACCAACTTGAGGGGGAGTGTTAGAATAGGAATAAATATATAAATCCTACTTAGAATAGGAATACGAATAGGAATAGGAATAGGAATCCGAATTGGAAAAGGAGCCATAGGAATAGGAATCCTAATTTGAAAAGGAGTCCAATGTAGTGTTTATAAATAGGGTCTCAATGTAATAATGTAGATACACCATTTCAATAATATATTTCTCCTATATTTCTCACAAATATAACTAGTGAAATTCCATAAGTGGAGTCTGGGGAGGTAGAGTGCATACAGACCTTATAAATACCTCGCGAAGGTGGAGAAACTCCAAAAGACCCTAGACTCAAGTGCAACAAATCCAAGTAAAAGAAAAAAAAACATCGAAGAAAGCATAACAATTACTTAAGAAAGCAATGCAGAGCCTACAAGAAAGGAACAATATAAAAAATAATGGGATAATGAAACACAATAAATAACATATGATGATAGATATCAAAAGCAAAAAAGTACAAGAATACGACTAGTACTTCGATAGACACCAACAATCCTAAACCTTCTAAAAGCAAGTCAACACTCCACTACCTACTAAATTTCTACCCAAACAAGCAACCTCCACACCTAAAGTCATGTCCATGATAATATGAAGTTGTGTCATGTCTTATATAATCACGTCTCCCCAATACTGTTTCTTCCTACCACTACTTCTCCTCGAACCCCCTAGACTCAACCTCTCGCACCTCCACACAACGACCTCTGCACATTTCCTCTTCACATGCCCAAACTATCTCAGTCTCGCTTCCCTCATTTTGTGCGCCATGGACATCACTCCGACCTTGTCCTCAATATCTTCATTTCTAATTTTGTTGCTCCTAGTATGCCCACATATCCATCTTGAAATGCTCATTTCCACAACTTTCATCTTCTAAATATGAGAATTCTTGATTGGCCAACACTCCACCCCATGCAACAAAGACGATCTAACCACCACTGCATAGAACTTACCTTTAAGTTTAGGTGGTACCTTTTTATCACAAGACTCCGGAAGCAAGCTCTTTTTGGCTAGTAAGGTTGATAAAAGGTATTGATAAATTAGCATCCAAGTGAAGTATTTTTCAAATGTTAATTGTCACATAAATCATAATCATATATAATGGTTCGTTTGTTCCAAGTGTGTATTTCTTTTTAATATACCACATATTTTACCCCATCTTTGCATTTTTTTATTTCTTCTTAAAATGAGATGACTATTTATTCAATTGTATGCCTTCTCTTTTTCTAGCAAAATTTGTAAAACAAGTTTACTAGAGCTCCATTACTTTTATACTAATAAACTTTTTTAGTAAATATAATGAATTTTTAACAGTGCATTTCTTTTTATATCATATTTAGATGCAATGACAAGTTGTTCAACCATGTATTTCTTCTTTTGGGGCCAAATAAGTAAAAATAAAAACTAGATAAAACTTTTGTGTAGCCAAATAAAAAAATTTAGACTAAATAATGGAGTTCCAAATATGTTTTTACAAGTTGGCCTGAAAATATGACCCTAAAAAGTCAATGAATTTAAAAAGGTTAAGAAATATATTTTATTTATTACAAATATGGACAAAACTAATTCATGTGGCAGAGAGTGCATCACACCTTCTTGTCTGAGGTTGTTCAGGGGGTGGAAGCTACCAAATGGTCAAATATAAGAAGTTATAATTACGAACAAAAGTTGCTTTAAGTGTGCACTTGAATAACAATATCAAGTTCAAGGAGGTCCCAAAGTAGTATGCTAACAATTTAGGGTGGACTATATAATAATCTCATGGACAAAATGCAGGTTTATTTTATACAACATTTGGTTGGAGGTATTAGGCAGTCGTGGGATTATTTATCCCACCATTTATACCTTAGTGATAGATAAGTTATTTGTTATCCCATATATATAGTGGAATAGCTTATCCCCGAATTAATAATCCTGGGATAACTTGTTCCGAACCAAACAATCCCCAAGTGAAATTGCACAATTGGCCCAAGGACAAACAAGATTCAGGCTTCAAGAAAGGTGGGGGTGAGGTACTTTCCTCGGCATACGGAAAGAAAATCCAGGATGATGGCTTTCAAAAGACGAGTAAGGGACGGGGAGAGGGTGACTGAAAAGGAGGCTCGACCTCTTTTTTTTTTCTCCTTTCAAACAAAGAAAAGTGGTTGAAGTTTTTCTATTTGGAATCGTGTTAGGCCTAATTCCTGGATTCTTTCTCTCGTCTTACTACTGTTTATCTTAAAATATCTAAAGAAGTCTTTATGGTTTGAAGCAGTGTTAACCTAGGTTTACCTGATTAATAGGGATGCTTTCCGTGGTAGTGAAAGGGACCTGTACAAGTGTGTTCATAAATCATGAACTAGTCATGATTATTATATTTAAAAGTAGATTCATAACATGTAAGATGGAATATTTTTTTGGATTTTCTATCTCAAATGTGACAACCTAAGGGATGATTTATCTTCATCATTATTAGGAATTTAAAATGCATACCAGAATCAAATCACACAAAAAGAACGTGTTCAATATTCAGCAAAAGAAATGTAAATTACACCCATTTCAGAATAACAGGGTAACAAAGTAATCGTAACTAATTCAAATAAAAAAGACAAGCAATCTTCTCAATAATCCCAGACACTAAGATCACAAGATAAATTAAGCAGGGCATACCGACAGATTATGCACTAAAACATTTTTAACATCCTGCATTTCCAATTCTGCCTGCAGAGAAAGCAAGAAAATCTATGTTGTAATGATTCATCAAGAAATTAAGACACATTTTAGGAGAATGAAGGCTATCTCAGCATGCAACTCTTCCAATTGCAGATTTAACGCTTCGTGAAATGTGGACAAAATTCTTATATAACAAAGTTGTATCTTATGATTTCTAGATTAATGGAATCCCACTTCTCTATAGAAGTGCAGCTGTAAAGGAAAATAATATTAAGATGTTATATGTATCTGTTCTAGTCTGTGATTTTTGTTGTCCTTAACTAGTCATGAGTTATCGATATCCTTCCAATCATTCAACATTAGGGCGCCATGTCCAAGCATGTAATGAAAACTTTCAGATTACAGGAAAACTAGATCATACTGGGACTTCAGAATTAGAAAAATCAATGTCTCTTAATATCAAACAAACGTTGAATGATTCCAGTGGTCGACAACCAACAACATAACCCAGGGTAATCCCACAAGTGGGGTTTACGGAGGGTAGGAAGTACGCAGACCTTACCCCTACCTTTGTGGGGTAGAGAAGTTGTTTCTGATAGCCCTCGGCAGTGGCGGAGGCAGGAATTCTATCAAGGGGGTTCAAATAAAACATAGGCGAAATCCTGAACCCCATAAACCATTGAGCTACTCTTTTGACATATGCTCAGGGGGTTCAATTTTAACTATATACACGTACACAAAAAAATTGATCTTATATATATAGTGTAATTTTTTTTCCGAGGGGGGTCGGATGACCCCCTGGACACACTCTACATCCGTCACTGGCCCTCGGCACAACAACGCATGGTGTTCAACAACCAACAGGGGGAAATGTTGGACGGAGTACGTTGAATTGTGTGCCTCGTGTAAATGATTCAGCATAGAGTTCAACAAACACCAAGGGAGAAGGGGGAGGGAGTATGTTTTAATTGTTAGACCATCTCCAACCCACCTCTATTTTTCTATTCTCTATTTTTAGAGAGTAAAATAGAGAATGAGTTCTCCAACCCCTCTTTAATTCACTCTCTATCATCCATTTATAGAGAGGTGAATAGTAGTTCTCCAAATTTATTCACACTTTCTATTTCACTTTTTCATTATTATTATTATTTTGTAATTAACATATTATTTTTTATATCAGGTCATTAATTAAATATCTAATATTCGTAATTCTTTTTAAATGTAATATAATATTTAAAAAAATATATTATTTAATGTATACTACTTTCATCCCGAATTAATAATACTTCAATTTGTTTTTAATTTTCATCACTTTAATATAATTTGATTCTATTATTAATTTTCACTATAAAGAATGCACAAAATTAAAATGATAAAATGAAACTTTTAATTTAAAAATACAATACATAACTTAATAATTTAAATACAAGATAACGATATAATGCATAACATAATAATTTTATCACAACAATAATTTAGTAATCGAGTAGGTCGTTTCTAGATTTAACAAGAAATTATGGACAAAAGTGCTCATTTTGAACTCCGTAATGCAGTAATAGATTATTTATGGGAGAAACGTAATAATCTTGAAAGTTGAGTATTTATGTAATGTTTTCATAATTGTATTTCATTAATGATTTCACTTTTATTTGAATTGTCCATTAATTTGTATATTATATAATATTTGCTTGGAATTTATGTTATTTAGAAGTTTAGATTAAATTATAATTTTATATTAAATAAAGAATTTGAAAAAATAAAATTTTATATCACATGAAAATTATATAAAGTGATTATTTGGAAAGAAGAAAGGAAGGATTTATATTATGAAATAAGAAAATAAGAATGAAATAGAAATAATAATATAATATGGAGGAGAGAGAAGAAGATTCTTTTTAGATAGTATAACAGAGAATTGGATTGGAGTTGGTTGTTTGAAAAAAATAGAGAACTCTATATTTGGAGTGTAAAATAGAGAATAGGGTTGGAGATGCGAGAGGAGAAATTTCTTTATTTTTAGTTCTGTAACACGTCCTCTTATGAACGGGCCAAATTTTATTTTATTTTTTGCCCAAGCACATGGATATATTTTGCTGGTAGGTAGTGGTGAGACTCGAATTCATGATGTCTGTCTATTCTAAAACAAAATTGAATTGTGTGAGCTCCTAATAAAAGCACAAACCATTAGAGAGAAAACATTTTTATTTATATATTTTAGGTCTGCAACCAGAGTACATGCCTACAATGATTTTGTTAAGTGCACCACACTGCGCTTAGTTGCTCCGTATGCTGCAAACCTGAAGATCGAAAAGGAAACAAGACACATCACTGAGAAAGACTGCGAGAGGGGCAACAAGTGAGACTAGGTGGCATTAACCTCACTAGTGACCTCCTGTATGAACTTGATAGAAATGCACTCCCCAAAATTTAAAGATCTACAAGAGATTTCAAACTCAGAAGGATCAAATCTGAAACAAACAGAAGGGGCACATTTGAAAAGGAAAAACAGAAAACTGGAGCAACCAAAACAGAGAACAAATGAAGAAACGATCAGGGGCATGTCGATAATAGTTTAATACTCTAGCATGACACACTACCAATTTAGTTTCAAAGTGTGTTCCTTGATATGTTAACGACACAACATCATGTAATAAACAAAGAAGCATGATAGACTAGGATTCTCTAGATGACATCACCTTGCTGTTAGATACTGCTGTAATATACTGGTAAACATTATAGCCACCAGTAATCATTTGCAGTCGCAACGTTTTACAATTGGTCAGAGGATGTTTGTGTAGCAGTACGAGGATGATCATGGAATTGGAGCAGCTAAGATACTTTGAGCAGCAGGATACAAAAGTCTAAGTTTGCTCGAGCAAACAACCAAATGCGTGCAATTAGTAAAGAATATTAAATTGCATAGATGATTATCGTTTTATCTTTCTTGTCTTATAGCCAAAGATGGAACTGAAACAAACTTGAAGTTCGTCTCCCATGAATTTAACAGTTTAACTTAGTGATGCTAGGGTGAGGGAGCTGAAAACATGAAACATACGCTTTTATTTTTTTTCCCAATTTCCATTGCACTCTCACCCAATTTCTGAAGTGAAACAAAAATATAACTTATGATTCCAATTTCTTCTGCAGTCCCTTTCTAGAAACTCTGTTAGTAGTCTTGCCTTTCTCTGTTTCTCTCTTCCCTACAGATCATGAAAATAAAGCTGCTAAAAAATTCTAATGAGATGCACAGAAGCAGGTCAAATTCCTAGCAAATCATAACACTATGGGTGTCAGAGGAGACAGGACAGCCCGGTCCCGGGTACTGTAAGGGGGATAGGGGACGAGGCAGGTTGGACGGTTGGTCCTTCCCGTCCAGTTTGTTTTTTTTTTTAAGAAAAGGTAACCGTTGGGAGTCATTGCCCAACAGCTACATTGACCCAAAAACCACTATTTCAGCCCTCCCCTCTCCCAAAACAGCCCCTCCCCCTTCCCCAAACTTTTATTTAAACTCCCATGTTTATTAAATTACATCTTGACCCTATTTCTAAACTATAAATACCCCTCCATTCTTCTTCATTTTCCGACAATTCTCTCATTCTTTCTCTCCAAATTTGCTAATTATTTAAGTGTTGTCAAGTTCTTTTTGTGAATTGTTTAATTATTTGGAGCAACTTTCAAGCTTCAACATTTAGTTACGGCTTATGGTTCAATTTTACCAACCACATCTAATGGTTCTGAGAAATACTCTTCTTCTACAGATTTTCCAGAACTTTCTTATCAACTGATTTATAACCTGCATTATGGTTGAACTTAATGAGTTTAAGGTCCAGTTATTAACTGACAAACTTGATGTTTCCACCAAGAGGTTGGTAAAGTTAACAAAGAACTCCTGCAGTTTGAGAGGAAATTCTTTTTTTTTTGATAAGGAAATTGCCAGTGCTACAGCGGACTGTTTTAAGTTCGAGAGGAAGTTCTTAGTTGATGATGAACCACTGTCAACAGGAAGCAATTTGCGCATCACCTGAGATATCCAAGTGACATTTCAAGATTGTTAGAATAGAAATAAGTATTTCCTACTTAGAATAGAAATAGGAATAGGAATAGTAATAGGAATAAGAATAGGAATCCTAGTTGGAAAAGGATTCCAATGTAGTGTCTATAAATAGGTTCTCAATGTAACTATTTAGATACACAATTCAATAATACTTTTTGTATATATTTCTCACATGGTATCAGAGCATTGGTGAGAACAAACAAGTCACCATATGTCTATGTCAATTTTCGGTGACTGTTGGGTCTGATTTTGTTATTCTTTTTTCTTTCTGTGGGTGTTGTGCGAAAACCAACACCACCACGAGGCTCGAAAAGCTCCCGTGACCAAACCCCAGCCAAAACCACCAGAAAACATCACCCCACGCGCCGATCGGAGGTGGTAGTTTCCGGCGATATCTGGCTCACACGCCGGCGCGTGAGGGCTTTTCTGATCATATTTTTTTGAGAATTTTTTTGACAGTTGGGGTCGTCCAGCCATTCCGACCAGGCCCATACTGTTTTTTACCAGATCCGATCGCCGGAATTAGGGTTCCGGCTATTTCCAGGCAGTTTTCGACGACTTTTCTTCGAGATTTGAATTTTCCGACAATCAGATCTCAATAATCAATTTTTTTTATTGTTTCCAAGACTAATTTAGCATAATGTCTTTTGGGTGTGATGTTTTTGGTTCTAAAAATATGGGGATTGGAAGTTCTAGCCCTATAATCACTTCAGAACTTTTATTGGGAAGTTCAAACTATTTATCTTGGGCTTCCTCGGTTGAGTTGTGGTGCAAGGGTCAAGGTGTCCAAGATCACTTAACGAACAAGGCTTATGTGGTAGATGTAAAGGCAAATACTAGTGAGGAACATGCAACAGCCGAAGCACAATGGGAGAAAGTAGATGCTCAATTATGTAGTCTCCTATGGCGTTCTATTGATTCTAAGTTGATGCCCTTGTTTCGCCCATTCCGATATTGTTTATTCACAATCTCTTCCAACTATTACTTTAGCCAATGGGATCCAAACAAAACCAAAAGGGGTTGGAAAAGCCAAACCCCTATCTTCTGTCACCCTAGACTCTGTTCTTTATGTCCCTGGTTCTCCTTTTAATCTAGCATCTGTTAGTCGTTTGATGAAAGCCCTACATTGTAGCATAACTTTTTTTGATGATTTTTTTCTCATGCAAGACCGCAGTACGGGACAGATGATTGGAACAGGACATGAATCACAAGGCCTTTACTATCTTACCTCTTCAAATTCCTTAGCAGCATGCTCCGTTACAGATTCCCCAGATCTAATTCACAAACATTTGGGACATCCGAGTCTATCCAAACTGCAAAAGATGGTGCCTAGTTTGTCTAGTTTATCCACATTAGATTGTGAGTCGTGTCAACTTGGGAAACACACTCGTGCTACCTTTTCTCGTAGTACTGAGGGTCGTTCAGAGTCTATTTTTTCATTAGTTCATTCTGATATTTGGGGTCCTAGTAGAGTCAGTTCCACCTTAGGATTTCATTATTTTGTTAGTTTCATTGATGATTATTCAAAATGTACTTGGGTTTTCTTAATGAAAGATCGTTCTGAGTTATTTTCTATTTTCAAAAGTTACTTTGCTGAAATACAAAATCAGTTTGGTGTTTCTATTCGTACTTTTCGTAGTGATAATGCCTTAGAATACTTATCCTCCCAATTTCAGGAGTTTATGACTTACCAAGGCATTATTCACCAGACTACTTGTCCATACACCCCTCAACAAAATGGTGTAGCTGAAAGAAAAAATCGGCATCTTATTGGGACCGCTCGTACTCTTCTCCTTGAATCCAATGTTCCACTGCGTTTTTGGGGAGATGCAGTTCTTACGTCTTGTTATTTGATAAATAGAATGCCCTCTTCTTCTATTCAGAATCAGGTTCCACATTCCATACTGTTTCCTCAGTCACATCTCTATCCTATCCCTCCTCGTGTCTTTGGGAGATCATGCTTTGTTCATAACTTAGCCCCAGGAAAAGATAAATTAGCTCCTCGTGCCCTCAAATGTGTCTTTCTTGGTTACTCTCGAGTCCAAAAGGGTATCGTTGTTATTCACATGATCTTCATCGATACCTTATGTCCGCTGATGTTACATTTTTTGAGTCTCAGCCTTACTATACATCTTCTGATCATCCTGATATCTCTATGGTCTTACCCATACCTCAGGTTTTACCTGTGCCAACCTTTAAGGAATCTACGGTTACTTCTACATCTCCAGTTGTAGTGCCACCACTACTAACTTATCATCGCCGTCCACGTCCAACCCTAGTCCCAGATGATTCATGTCATGCGTCGGACCCTGCTCCTACTGCGGACTTGCCTCCTCCTAGCCAACCGCTTGCACATCAAAAAGGTATACGATCCACTCGAAATACTAACCCACATTATACCTTCTTAAGTTATCATCGTCTATCATCACCCCATTATGCATTTGTGTCGTCTTTGTCCTCTATTTCCATTCCTAAGACTACAGGTGAAGCAATTTCTCATTCTAGATGGAGGAAGACTATGGTTGATGAGATGTCTGCTTTACATAAGAGTGGTACTTGGGAGCTTGTCTCCCTTCCTGCAGGTAAATCTACTGTTGGTTGTCGTTGGGTTTATGCAGTCAAAATTGGTCCAGACAGTCAGGTTGATCGACTTAAGGCTCGCCTTGTTGCCAAAGGGTATACTCAGATATTTGGGCTAAATTATAGTGACACTTTCGCTCCTGTGGCTAAAATTGCATCTGTTAGTCTTTTTCTATTTATGGCTGCGGTTCGTCATTGGCCTCTTTATCAGTTGGACATTAAGAATGCTTTTCTGCATGGTGATCTTGAGGAAGAAGTCTATATGGAGCAACCACCTGGTTTTGTTGCTCAGGGGGAGTCTAGTAGCCTTGTATGTCGATTGCGCAGGTCACTCTATGGTCTAAAACAGTCTCCTCGAGCTTGGTTCGAGAAGTTCAGCACAGTAATTTAGGAGTTTGGCATGACTCGTAGTGGAGATGATCACTCTGTGTTTTATCGGCATTCTGCACCAAGTCGATGTATCTATTTGGTTGTTTACGTTGATGATATTGTTATCACCGGTAATGATCAAGATGGTATCACCGATTTGAAGCAACATCTCTTTAAGCACTTCCAAACTAAAGACCTTGGCAGATTGAAGTATTTTCTAGGTATTAGGTTGCTCAGTCTAGATCAGGTGTTGTTATTTCTCAACGCAAGTATGCCTTAGACATTCTTGAGGAGACAGGAATGATAGGATGTAGACCTATTGACACTCCTATGGATCCGAATGTTAAAATCCTTCCAGGACAGGGGGAGCCACTTAGTAATCCTGAAAGGTATAAACGGCTTGTTGGAAAGTTGAATTATCTCACAGTGACTAGACCTGACATCTCTTTTCCTGTGAGTGTTGTAAGTCAGTTTATGACTTCCCCTTGTGATAGTCATTGGGAAGCAGTTGTTCGTATTCTACGATATATAAAGTCAGCTCCCGGTAAAGGACTACTCTTTGAGGATCAAGGCCATGAGCATATCATTGGATATACGGACGCTGATTGGGCAGGATCACCCTCTGACAGACGTTCGACATCCGGATATTGTGTTTTAGTAGGAGGTAATTTGGTGTCTTGGAAGAGTAAGAAACATAATGTGGTTGCTCGATCTAGTGCAAAATCACAGTATCGAGCAATGGCGACAGCAACTTGTGAGCTAGTTTGGATCAAACAGTTGCTGGGAGAACTAAAATTGGCAAAGTTGATCAGATGGAACTTGTGTGTGATAATCAAGCGGCTCTTCATATCGCATCAAATCCAGTGTTTCATTAAAAGACTAAGCACATTGAAATTGACTGCACTTTGTCAGAGAAAAGATACTCTCGGGAGATATAGTTACGAAATTTGTGAAGTCAAATGATCAGCTTGCAGATATCTTCACCAAGTCCCTCACATGTCCTCGTATTAATTACATCTGTAACAAGCTAGGTACATATGATTTGTATGCACCAGCTTGAGGGGGAGTGTTAGAATAGAAATAGGAATAGGAATAGGAATAGGAATAAGAATAGGAATCCTAGTTGGAAAAGGATTCCAATGTAGTGTCTATAAATAGGGTCTCAATGTAACTATTTAGATACACAATTCAATAATATTTTTTGTATATATTTCTCACAAAGATAATAGAGCAAAATGAGATACTTTTCTTGATAAGTTATTCACTTCTCAAATCTCCCTCATGAAAATGTTCTTGCACTTGGCCCCACCTCTTCTAATACAATATGCAGAAGTTGAGTGCCACTGATAAAGGACTAAAGATACCTGGGGGTTGGTCTTCCATCTGAGCCAGCCCCATCAATATTAAAAATATGACCTCCTCGAGGCTGATTCTGCATCAAGTTTATAGCCTACAATAATAAATGTTAGCAAACAGAGGCAACCAACAAAGAGGAATGAACAACCTAGCAATGCTTTTACCTCACGACAACATATCATCAAACCAAGAGTATTTGTAGTGACAACTTGACTGCACACAAATCGAATTCATGAAAAACATCAATAAACAAAGACAGGACCTAAGTCAAATGCAAAAGAGCTCACATTAAATCTTCATCAGAAGCTTCTGCCAGGGGTTTGAAGCTATACGCATTCGATCCTGCATTATTGATCTGCTTCATTCTCAAGAATTTGTGAGAAACCAACAAAAATTAGAATATCAACATTTCAACATTATAGTTTCTCAATGACTGAAACAAAAATACAAGAATTACCACCTTGTGGTGGAGTGATAAAACAACACTTATATCACACTTTAAAATACATGCACAAAGTTTTCCCATCTCATTTTTGCCAGATAATTGATGTGTTAGACTATCCAGATGGAAATCATTTGAACTATCAACATGCTAATATTTGGAGTTAATAGCTTAAATGGTCACCCAACTTACGGAAATAACTTACCAAATTCACTTTCCCTTTTTTCACATTCAGAAAAAAACAAACACCCATTTGGCATGCCATGTCATAATATAACCCCATTTTAAAAAATAAAGCCGTAAACAGCCTCTCTACCTCCAACCTCCGGGAGGTAGTGGTAAGGTCTGCATACATTCTACCCTCCCCAGACCTCACTTGTGAAATTTCACTGGGTATGTTGTTATTTTAAAAATAAAGTCTATTTAACACATGTACCTTATACACATTTAATCCACCCGATAAGAAAATGAGTCTACTTAAATGACATGAGAATGATCTAAACCCAGAACATCACTCAACACCCACAAACTTGGGCTCAAGTAACTTCACCTAAATACACAAAGTAACTACTACAGATTCAACACAAAGTATAATATGTCAAAATTAAATATTATGGACCTTTATAATTATAGGCACTAATTGATAAGTAGTAATTAAAATGGTAGCAAACATGTTACAATAAGTTACATATTACACTGATAACATAATGTTAAAAATTCAGAATGTTGTGTGTATATATATAACTTCAATGCAGAAAATATAAGACAACATACTCCCTTGCTTCTACTTAACCATTCTCTTTTGTTCCAAACCCTCATCTCCATTCCTTTAGCCTTCAGTCTATTCTCCTAAATCTTCCCTACTCTTCAAAAAACAACACAAAATTGATGGACATGTATGCTAGAGAAATGCAGGATTTCATGAACATGGAATCCTTCTCCTAAATTTTCTTCATTCGTCCAGCACCAATAAAAGACAAAGCCATTATGATTTTTGGCAAAGAACTAGATGGTGCTCATGACTCCACCACTACAAAGGGACCTGTTATAAAGAAAATTTAACAGGGCTGTCAAATTCTCTTTGCATGTGTACAGTAATGTGGAATGATTTAGTTGAGTGAAATTTACTTGAACTCAAGTTTATGGGTGTTGATTGATGTTCTGGGTTTAGAAGATCATTTTCGTGTCATTTAAGCAGACCCATTTGTTAGGGTCAGGTTTTAATGATGATTTAATGTATGCAGGAATATTATGGAAAGTCTAAGCTATTAATTACTCAAGATTTCCAAGGCATTAATCAAAGGCAGATCTTGGATGACTTCCAAGGAAAGAACCAAGACTCGCGTAGAACACATGGAAGCAGTATCAAGTACTAATCAAGACCCAGTGAAATTATAGAAGCAGTACCAAAAGGGATATTTGGAAGATTAGTAAAAATACTACAACAACAGCCTCTTGGAATGAGTTGTCCCTTATTCTTGGAAAGGAAATCAATTTCCCTTTCCAAGGATCAAATCCTTAGGGTTGCCCTCTCTGCTAAGGAACCAACAGTCCTCATCAAAGTCTTCTATATAATCAATCATTGAAGACCAAAGACTAACATACATTTGTCTAAAGCCTCCTCAAAGTCCCTTGTTCTACACTTCTACTCATAACAAGCATTGTAATTCTTGAATGGTTTACTGTGTAATCAAAACAGAGAAGAGAGGAAAAATATAGTTGGTGAGGCATTGTATCAAGAGAGAAAAAGATCAAGTGTAGACTAGGAACTACACCTTGAGGTGACTTGTACTCATCGACTATTCAAAGTACTTGCATAGAAAATCCCTTGCAACCCAAGGGGACTGGATTAAAATCCACATTGGATCCCAACTGGTATAAAAATACCCGGTGTCATTTACTTATTGTTTTATAACTTGCGTCATCATTTAATTGCACAGTCGTTACAGTTGAAGCTTTATTTCAAGAGGGAACCTCTCAGACAAGGCCTCCCTACTTCAATGGGAAGCACTTCTCACACTAGAAGGTCAGAATGGAAACCTACATCAAGTCATATGATGTAATGGTCTGGAGGGTGATCAAATTGGGAGACATTCCCATACCTACAACTAAGAGTGATGATAAGGAATTTGGAAGCAAGGAAAAAACAACAGAAATTGAAGGAGCAATTGATCTATCAAAATTGGCTGACAAACAGCACAACTGGAAGTTATTCAGGTAAACTCTTAAGAAATATTTACTATATAATGCAATCAGTGGTGAAGAATATGAAAAGATCTCAAGAGGTGAAACTGCTAAAGAAATATGGGATAACCTAGAAGTAACCTATGAAGGAAATGGCAAATCAAGCAGACTATAGTCAGCCTTCTAGTTTATGAGTATTATTCCAAATAAATGAAGGAGAGACTATTGAGGGAATGTTCTCCCGGCTGAGTAAATTCATTGGGGAACTAAAAGACTCTGGAAAACCTATCCTACTTGTTAAATTAGGTATTAGGTCTTCGGCCTAACTCTCACCTCAAAAGCTAGCTCAAAGGGAGGAGGAGGATTTCCCAAGCCTTATAAGGAGTACACCCATCTCATTAACCACCATGTGAAACTTTTGTCATTCTTTAACACCCCACCTCATGCCCAGTGCTTAACATCTGGTGCCTGGGCAACTTTTAATTTTAGGGGCTCAACAGTGGGTGAGATGGGTCCGCTCTGATACCAAGTTAAATTAGGTCTTGGACCCTAACTCACACCCCAAAAGCTAGCTCAAACGGAGGAGGATTACCCAAACCTTATCAAGAGTACACCCGTCTCATTAAGCACCAATGTGAAACTTTTGTCATTCTTTAACACTACTATCGATCACACAAGGAAGGTACTCAAAAGCCTACCACCTCAATGGCATGCCAAAGATGTTGCTCTGGAAAGCATTAACCTCAAACAACACCCCTTATCTAAGAGGAGACTTGATAATTGAATGACTTTGTTGTCCCAAAATAATAAGTGACTTTGGTAGGTCATATCCATAAGTTGGGTGAGGAATTAACTCTAATATTTATCAAGGCTTTGCAGCAGTTCAAACAACTAAATTTATGGATTAAGTACCAACACCAATTCTTGAACAAATTGTGAAATGAAAGGATAAAAGAAAACATTTACAATCAAATAAGAAAGGGAATTGGACATCTGATACAAAGAACATTGAGAGTGTTCGTGGCCTTATCATCTTAAGCAAATTGAGGGTCCAGATTAAATACCCATATGTCGATGTATTTAAGCTTTTCCTTCGCAAAGGCAACTAAGTTCTTCACGTCATCTCCCTCTCTAACATCACACTTGGTTCCCTGCATAGGGATCTGAATCAAGCATGTGAAGACTAAAATAATACTTAAGCTAATCATGTAAAAGAAAGGCCATAACACCTGAAAGGACCAGTAAGTATATTTACAGACCTTTCGTTTACTTTAAAGACATAATAACATATAATTCTAAACTACATATTAGACAGAATATGGCACATCTTCAGCTTACCGAGGAGGCAAGGACATGACCTTAGATAGGAGGGTATGGAGGTCATGGATAGAAGGTAAGTAGGTATAGTTGGGAGTTGTCTTATTACTAGCCCATTCATGTATTTTTCTGGGTGGAAGTGTAGAGCTCCGTGCCGGTCGTAGTATTAGCATATTCATAAAGTCTTCGGTTTTTGGTATCCGAGATCATCTGTGGTTTACTATGTTTATGTAACCGCAACTTGTTATTATTATGGCTCCTTGCATATATGCTCCGCACTGCTTTGCTATTAACTCTCAATTTTATTATAATTAGTGTTTTATTTGCTTGAGCCAAAGGTCTTACAGAAACAGTCTCTCTACCTCGGAGAGTTAGTGGTAAGGCCTGCATACATTCTACCCTCCCAGACCCCACTTTGTGGGATTTCACTGAGTTTGTTGTTATTGTTGTTGTTGTTTACTTTACAACCTTCCTTTCAACAGAACATGATTCAGGAAATCAAAAGTTCAAGTCAATTGGTGGGCATGAAGCCCTAAGGTATGTTAGTCATTAGCGAAATAAAGTACTCATCAATCATCATAGAACCAACAGATTGAAGACGAAACTAGTGATGAGTACACAGAAAGAATCAAAGAATGACTAAAGGTCTATAAGAAATGAACTGAACATGGAGGTACCCACACATGCTGCTTCCCTGTTTCAACTCTTAACCTGTCGAGAGCAGATACAACTCTTTCATCTGTCAAAAAAAAAAATGGTCAACACTAAAGATATAATTACACTTAATTCTAAACTACATATTCCATAGAAACTTGTTTCTTTTCCATTCAAGGGTAGGGAGATGAAGAGCTAACATAAAGATAGTGTGAGCTTTAAAGCAGTAAAATAAAAAAGAGAATGAGAACACATCCCCATGATTTACAAGATAACAAATGGAAAAGAGAAAATATCACTGTATCAAGGTATCATGCAAAATCATCAGTCTTATGTTATTGCAATTATGGTAAGTTCAGGACTCGGATAAGATTCATCAAGGTACGGGAGCAGCAATTATTGATATATGACTCCATAAAGATCAAACTGGATCATGAATATGCCATCCCTCCCAATTTTCAATTCAAACTTCAGCAGATTCTCCTCCTTCCTTTGTTTTCTAACTTCAGCAAGCTCTGTTCCTTTCAACCCATATTATCTCCAATTAAGTAGCCAGATTCCCATTTGCTCTATTTTAATAAAATTGCATCCATTGCTTTTCACTATTTCCTTAATTTGCATGTGTGGCACTTAAAGTCTCTAGAGATCACTGACCCAATGCCTGCAACTTTTTTTTTCTTTCCACAAGCTGTAGCTTCTTAGTGTAACATTCCGAAAGTGACCATTGTCATCCTTAACAGAAGTGGATAAAAATATGGGATTAAACATTCATATTTAGCTACTCAAAAGTAAAATTTCTCCAACTACTCTGTTTACCCCTTACGCTAGCGTGCAGGTACAAATTCACTAAGGCCATATACACATATTGGTTTCCGATCTTCTTCTTCTATTTGATGGGAAGGAAAACTACAACAAGCTGATTCCAATAATAACCATAGAGCAGTGCAAACTGTCAACAAAATGATCCCAACATCCAAGTTATACTGACTACTGAGCCTTTTACAATTTCATTTTCTTTCTTATAGTATTGTGGCAACCAAAAGGAACTAACTATAAAGTAGTTAGTGTTCATCTGTTCCCATCATATCTCTTGCTTTGTGAATATGGAGAACAATGAAATATCTTTGATTGCATAGTACACTCGAGTTGGATCACTGTAGCAATTGGACATCACACGCCTACATCATATGATTTCCTTGATTTTTTTTACAATACGGTGATGTATGAATCAGTTTAATGTGCCTTGACTATTCCACTGAGTACTTGCTACCTCCAATCAGTATAGCTATTCGGTAATTCTGTCCATCAAGGCTTATGCAGATGGGAAGTAATTACCTTTACCCTCCTTTTCAAGTTATGTGTCTTAATTTGACTAAGCACAAAGTTCAGAAAAATAAGGGAGACTTTTAAATTTTGTGGTCTTAAACTAAACATGTATATTGTACCAAAATGCTCTTTGAATCTTGTGGTAGGGATGTTATAATTAAAGAGAGTACTAAACATAGAATGTGGCTTCTCTTAAAAAAAAAAAAAAACTAAAACAAAAAGTAGGATACATAATAAAAAATTGAGAAAAAAGGACACAGATACATAAGGAGCAATGTTTTTGTCTCTGTTGGATTTAAACCCTATTCTCTGAGGTTTCTATCTGCCTCATTGACCATTAGGTCATACTCTTGAGTGCAAAATGATTTCCTTGATTATGATGGCGCCATTAGAGGCCATTGTAGGTTTAACAATGATCTACCAGATTATGGAGATATATCAGTATTTAATTGAGTAATACATTGACGATCAATCTATACTAATACAGAAATGGAAACCTCAAACCAAAATGTAAAGAGATCGAAACATCCCTCTAAAGTTGATGGACTTTATACCCCTTCAAAAATCAAATTATCCAACAATATTAATGTAAAAAGGAATAAGACCAAGAGATTTCTGTAGGAATTCTAAAGGTTACATGGAAATTCTCAAAAGGACAAATAATGATGCATGTATCTAAAATCTACATCTATTATACTTCTCAAAAATCTCAAGCATAAATAATGTTTTCTGATGAACTACATTATATTTCTTTATGAAACAATAATTTTAAAAAGAATACCTCAAACATTAGGAATAGACAAGTTCCTTAAACTCAAACTTAAAGAAAAATCATTCTCCACGTCTAAAACGTGAATTCAGATTAAATTGACTAGTATTTTGAGAATAATATAATTTTGAGTATAAGTGAGTTTTTTCCCCAAATAGGGATTAAATAGACAATTATAAATTTGAGAGGACATATTGTAACACAATTATTTCGGTAAAAATCTAAAAAAGGAGTTCACACAAGCCATTTTAAGAAGGTGCTAGATATTGTTCCATCTTCCTATAACTGTGAACATTTAAGCTTGAATTTTGAAGTTGTTTCTGTTAGAATAGAATAGGTATACACAATCCTACACAAAATAAGAATGGTTTATAGCGTCTATAAACAGGGTTCTCTATGTAATAATCAGAATGCAATTCAATAATATTATTTTCATATATTTCTCACATGGTTCATAGCAATTGTGAGAAAAAAAAATATATCGCTGCAAAATCAGCTATCTGTGCAGTTTTTTCCAGTAACCTAAATGGCTGTCTGGGTAATTAATATTTTCCGTCCCAAATTTTCAAAAATCAACACCACCACTAGGTGCGGAACTTCCCAGCGAGCAAACCCCAGTCATACTCACCAAAAACAAGTGCCACACGCGCCGCTGGAAGAATTTCTCCAGCAAGTTGTCAAATCCACGCGCCAGCGCATGCTCCCTATTCCGGCCGGTTTTTTTGAAAAAAAATTTTCTACCTGGGTCGCCTCTTCATTCTGAGGCTGCCCATATATTTTTTTCCTGATTCCGACCAATATTTGGCGATTTGATTCACTTTTTCAGCAACAACCTTTTCTTTTCCAGATTTCGAACAAAAAATATAAAATAAAAAAATCCAGATTCTGGCAACTCATTACAGATTATTTTTTATTTTTTTCGGCTGCTTATTCTAATTTCACAACATGTCTTTCAGGATTGATACTTTTGGCTCCCAGAATATAAGAATTGGAAGTTCAAGCCCTATGATCACTTTAGAACCGTTAATGGGAAGCTCAAACTATTTAGCTTGGGCTTCCATGGTTGAGTTGTGGTGCAAGGGTCAAGGTGTCCAAGATCACTTAACGAACATTGCTTCTGTGGTAGATGAAAAGGCAAAGGCTAGTGTGGAAGATGCAAAAGCCAAAGCACAATGGGAGAAGGTTTATGCTCAATTATGTAGCCTCCTATGGCGATCTATTGATTCCAAGTTGATGCCCTTGTTTCGTCCATTCCAAACATGTTATTCAGTTTGGGAAAAGGCTCGTGCCTTATACACTAATGACATATCTCGACTCTATGATGTGATATCTCATATGCCCAACCTAAAGAAACAAAATTAGGTATGTCCATTTATTTGGGACAAGTACAGGTAGTCATGGAGGAATTTGAAACATTGATGCCAGACACTACGAATGTGCAAAAACAACAAGAGCACAGGCAAACGTTGTTTCTAGTTCTTACACTTGTTGGACTTCCAATTGACCATTATTCAGTGCGTGATTATACTTTAGCTAGTCCTACAATTCCTACGATTGATGAATTATTCTCTCGTCTACTTCGTCTTACTGCGCCTCCCAGCCACAAAGTAGTTTCATCACCGACCATTACTCCTCTGCTCTCGCCTCTCAAACCATAGACAAACGAGCCTATCAATCTATGGAGAATCGAAGAGGAGGAGGTCGTTTTGGAAAACCTCGATCCAAGTGTAGTTATTGTCATAAGTCTAGACACACTCGTGACATATGTCATATTTTGCATGGTCCACCACCTTATTATGATCTTGTTGCTCTAAAGGAATATAATGAGCTCCTTCGTAATCGTGCAAGTAAGAAGACATCTCGACAAGAAGTATTCATTGCTCTGCTTGATCGACCATCCCATAATGCTCATATTGCTCAAACAAAATATGATGAGTTCCTTCAATATCGAGCAAGTAAGCAAACGTCTCCACAAGTAGCTTCGGTTGTTCAACATGATGTTGTTGTTGAGGGTAATTCTTTTACTTGTGTTTCACGTCTAATACTCATGGATCATGAGTCATGGATCATGAGTCATGGACTCAATCGCTTCTGATCATATTTCTGGTAACAAATCACTTATGTCGGATATTGTTTATTCACAATATCTTCCTGTTATTACTTTAGCCAATGGGATCCAAACAAAACCAAAAGGGGTTGGAAAAACCCCTATCTTCTATCATTCTAGACTCTGTTCTTTATTCCCCTGGTTCTCCCTTTAATCAAGCATATGTTAGTTGTTTGACACGTTCCCTACGTTGTGACATAACCTTCTTTGATGATATTTTTCTCTTGTAGGACCGCAGTACGGGATAGATGATTGGCACATGACATGAATCACATGGCCTTTACTATCTTAACTCTTCAAATTCCTTCACAGCATGCTCCGTTACATATCATCTGGACCTCATTCACAAACATTTGGGACATCCGAGTCTATGCAAACTCTAGCAGATGGTGCCTAGTTTATCTAGTTTATTCAGATTAGATTGTGAGTCGTGTCAACTTGGGAAACACAGTCGTGCCACATTTTCACATGGTACTAAGGGTCATTCAAAGTCTATTTTTTCATTAGTTCATTATGACATTTGGGGTCCTAGTAAAGTAAATTCCACCTTAGGATTTCATTATTTTGTTAGTTTCATTGAAGATTATTTGAGATGCACTAGGGTTTTCTTAATGAAAGATTGTTATGAGTTATTTTCTATATTCAAAAGTTTCTTTGCTGAAATACAGAATTTGTTTGGTGTTTCTATTTGTACTTTTCGTAGTGATAATGCCTTAGAATACTTATCATCCCAGTTTCAGGAGTTTATGTCTAAGCAAGGAATTATTCACCAAACATCTTGTCCATACACTCCTCAGCAAAAAATAGGCATCTTATTGAGACTACTCGCACTCTCCTCATTGAATCCCATGTTCCGCTGCGTTTTTGGGGCAATGTAGTGCTTTCATCTTGTTATATAATTAATATAATGCCCTCATGTTCTATTCAGAATCGGGTTCCACATTCCATATTGTACCATCAGTCACATCTATATTTTATCCCTCCTCTTGTCTTTGGGAGCACATGCTTTGTTCATCACTTATCCCAGGAAAAGATATATTAGCCCCTCGTGCTCTTAAATGTGTCTTTCTTAGTTGCTCTCGGGTTCAAAAATTGTATCGTTGCTATTCACATAGTCTCTACCGATGTAATATTCTTTGAATCTCAACCTTACTACACATATTCTAATCATCCTAATGTCTATAAGGTCTTACCCATACCTCAAGTTTTGCCTGTACCGACTTTTGAGGAACCTACGGTTACTTCTCCATCTCCTATTGTAGTGCCACCACTCCTGACTTATCATCGTCATCCACGTCGAGTAATAGTCCCAAATGACTCATGTCATGCGCCAAACCCTGCTCCCACTGCGGCCTTGCCTCCTGCTAGCCAATCGGTTACTCTTCAAAAAAGTATACGATCTATTCGAAATACTAACCCACATTATACTTTCTTAAGTTATAATCGTTTATCTTCACCCCATTATGCATTTGTATCATCTTTGTCCTCTATTTCCATTCCTAAGACTACAGGTCAAACACTTTCTCATTCTGGATGGAAGCAGACTATGATTGATGAGATGTCTGCTTACATTTGAGTGGTACTTGGAGCTTGTCTCCCTTCCTACAAGTAAACCTACTGTTGGATGTCGTTGGGTTTATGCGGTTAAAATTGGTCCGGATGGTCAAGTCGATTGGCTTAAGGCTCGCCTTGTTGCCAAAGGGTATACTCAAATATTTGGACTAGACTATAGTGACTTTTTCGCTCTTGTGGCCAAAATAGCATATGTTTGTCTTTCTCTATCTATGGTTGTCGTTCGTCATAGACCTCTTCATCAGTTGGACATTAAGAATGTTTTTCTGCATGGTGATCTTGAGGAAGAAGTCTATATAGAGCAACCACCTAGTTTTGTTACTCAGGGGGAGTCTAGTAGCCTTGTATGTCGATTGCGTTGGTCACTCTATGGTCTAAAACAGTCTCCCCGAGCTTGGTTTGGAAAGTTCAGCACAATAATTTAGGAGTTTGGCATGACTCGAAGTGGAGCTGATCACTCTGTGTTTTATCGGTATTTAGCACCAAATATGTGTATTTACTTGGTTGTTTACGTTGATGATATCGTTATCACCGCCAATGATCAATTTGGTACTGCTAATATGAAGCAGTATCTCTTTCAGCATTTCCAAGCTAAAGACCTCGACGGATTGAAGAATTTTCTAAGTATTGACATTGCTCATGCTAGATCAGGTATTGCTATTTTTCAATGCAAGTATGCTTTAGACATTCTTGAGGAGACAATATGATGGGATGTAAATCCATGGACACTCCTATGAATCCGAATGTTAAACTCCTTCCAGGACAGAGGGAGAAACTCAGTAATCCTGAAAGGTATAGACGGTTGGTTGGAAAGTTGAATTATCTCACGTTGACTAGACCGGACATCTCTTTTCCTATAAGTGTAGTAAGTCCGTGTATGACTTCTCCTTGTGATAGATTCAGATGTTGGTATTCTATATAAAGTCAGCTTCTGGTAAAGGACTACTCTTCGAGGATCAAGGTCATGAGCATAACACCATATATACAAATGTTGATTGGGCATGATCACCCTTTGATAGACGTTCTACATCAGGATATTGTGTTTTAGTAGGAGGTAATCTAGTGTCATGGAAGAGCAAGAAACAAAGTGTGGTTGCTCGATCCAGTGTAGAAGCAGAATATCGAGCAATGGTTGTAGCAACTTATGAGCTAGTTTGGATCAAACAGTTGCTGGGAGAACTCAAGTTTGGAGAAACCAGTCATATGGAACTTGTGTATGATAATCAAGCAGCCCTTCATATCGCATCAAATCAAGTGTTTCATGAGAGGACTAAGCACATTGAGATTGATTGTCACTTTGTCAGAGAAAAGATACTCTCAGGAGATATTGTTACCAAATTTGTGAAGTCAAACGATTGACTTGCAGATATCTTCACCATGTCCCTCACCGGTACTCGTTAATTACATTTGTAACAAGCTAGGTACATATAATGTGTATGCACCAGCTTGAGGGGGAGTATTAGAATAGAATAGGTATACACAATCCTACACATAATAGGAATAGTTTATAATCTCCTATTTGGTAAGGAATTGTATTATAGTGTCTATAAATAGGGTTCTCTATGTAATAATTAGAACATAATTCAATAATATTTTTTTCCTATATTTTTCACAGTTTCCTCAATGAAGTATAAAAACAATAGAAGGTCAAAAACATTGTGGGGAGCAATGTAAGTATCGGTTAACTCATTATATTACTCAAGTTAACACAACCCATATATTGAATTACAATAAGACATTCGAGGACTTTTGTGAAGCTCGATGCTTTTTCTGTATCGAGTTGATTAAAAAGGTTCACCATTTATCATTTTTAGGAACTTACATTTTCTTTAACTTTATTTCCTTTATCAATAATTACATCACTCTACAGACTTTGAGTCAAGGGTCTATCGAAAACGGCCTCTCTACCCCAACAAAGGTAGGGTAAGGTTTGCCTACATCATTCCCTCTCCAAACCCAGTTGTGGGATTACACTGGGTATGTTGTTGTTGTTGTTGTTGACACGGAGTAAGGGTGTTCCAAGAGACTAGTGAACATAAAAATATGCACTTAAGTAGTCGCATAAATTCTTAATTATAAAACAAATTGTAACACAGAGCTCAAAATAAAATCAGCAATACAATTTTCTCAGTCTTCAATCTTCATTGGGTCAAAGCTTTGAATTTCTTTTCTATTCGAAATGAATAATCAAGAGTGGTTGTCAGACAGTCTCACATTGCGATCGGTTTTTGGAGAGCTTTGCATGTCGTATTCCGTTTATTCTTTTTTTTAAAAATTGATAGGTCAATAAAAGTTCATTATTCATATTTAATCCTAATAGAACAAATATTTGTCTTCATTGTCAAGATCTAGGGATGGCTTTATGTTTTCTAGAAAAAATATCAAAAACATTTCTGGAGTCCAAGATAAGTTTGGGCACGACATCTTTCTAATAGGAAATCTTGGCAAAAACTACACTTTCTTTCGGTTTAGCAAGGGAAAGAACCCCAGACATTTAAACTAATGTTCAGTGATGACTTGGCAAAATCTCAACATCCCCCTCCCCCTCAGTGGCAGAGTTTGAATCTCAGCCTTGCATTTTGGGACAATTCGTCACCTATGATGTATCCAAACTCCTCCTATATAATCATGACTCTTGAACTATGGTACACCACTAATGGCACATCTATTGCCGTGATCCCACCATATATTCTGCATATTTCATTTTTACACAATTGACTACCTTTTTCACAAACTATAAAATAAAGCAAAAATATAGAGGAACTGAACAATGAGAAAACCAATAAGTCTATTGGTTAATGACATCATTGAAGTCAAAAGGTATTGTCACTTATGATATGAAATCACCTGATCTGGAGCAAATGAGGACATTATCACCTGCCTTGAGAAATTCTTTAGCTAATGCATAGCCTATTCCTGAAATAATAAAATAACGTCAATTCTAGACATCTGCAGTTAAGTATAAACAAAAATAGAACCAGTTGCATATTTTAGAGCGACTTGTTTTGTGTCCATGTAACCACTTTGTGAAACAAAGTAAGCAGATTGAAATATAATCCACGAGCACATGTTGTTAGCTACAAATATAATGGTTTTGCTAGAAGGTAAAGAATTCTATTAAAGTTGCCAAGTAACAGGAGATTGAACGTATTATATCCCTATCTAATACAAAGTCATATCTTCCAGTGATTACACAAAAAACATGGTTGAGTTTCAGCATACAAACACCCAGTCACTACACAAATGATCAAAATGAAAAAAAGGATGTGAAGAGAGTCATAATACATTAAAAGAACAATAAAATCGAGTTACAAAAAGGTTCACGTGACCACCTATGATATAAATAGGCGTTGGTGGCTGTTTCAACCATGAACCAAGAAATTAAACATTTTAATAACCAAACCGTTGCATTTTTTGAATTATTAGGGAAAAGGAGACATTAAAGGCCCTCAAAGGAACTACAAATCCAGATGCATGTTATAGCACTCCAGCTAAAGAAACTTGGCCTTCTTCAATATAAAGCTATAAAGTTTACTTAATTCACACCATCAACAATTAAGCTTCATCATTCCACCATGATAAATAAGGTTTGGCCCAGTGGTTTGGGCTTGGGACTTCTATGTTGAAGGTCTCAAGGTCGAAACACCTTGCCGAGTTGCCAGCAAAAGCAAGGAGTTTGCCTTCAGGGTCGAGCTTGTCGCACCGGGCTTGCCTAGTGCAATTTACCTCTCCTATGTGGTTTGCGAGCTATTGCATAGGAGCGGGGGTTTTACCTTGTGCGCACCCAAAGGGTAGCGGCTACGGGTTTCCCTTGTCATCAAAAAAAAAAAAAAGGTCTTCACTACTATGCAAACTATATTTCCCCTGCCATTTAGGTGATCCCTCATATTCTTTTGTTTCAGCGGAAGAAATTGCACGACCCTTGGGAACATCTTCAAAAACACAAGTGACAATGAACCAATATGAAGTTGCAAAAGGGAGACCAAGGAGTACGTCAAACATTAAGACTAGTCATGTTGTTTCAAACATTAAAAAACTAACACCTTCTAACATTAAACTTTTTCATGTTGTTGTATACTTCATATGACTAGTCAGAATATATATAAGACATCACCATTGTCCTAGTGAAATGTAGTTCAAACCGAGCCTTTAATAATCAACTTCAACTCAGAACATAAAAATGTTGGCAATAAGGTCATTATATCTGATTGTACACCATATTCAATCTTGTTTGACTTTTGGCAATGGTATTGACCCTTCTGGCCATACATTTTCAAGTTCGTCAGTAGCTTTTCACAAAGATAAGTTGCAAAAAGAGAAGTTAGAGATAAAATGAACATGTTTAACATCAACAGAACCCTAAACAAAGACCTAAGTACACTAAGACAGGGATCCGCAATCAAGACAAAATTATGATAACCCATTTGTACATTGAAAAATATTGAACTAACCTTTGGAACCACCTATAATTAAGACATTGTAAGGAGGAAGCATTGGGTCCTTTGTATTTGCGTGTGGAGAAGAAGCAGCCTTCACAACAGCAGCAGAGAAACGAAACGAATTGTATTTAGATATTAAGCAAAACCTGGCAATGGGAGATACAATAGGTAAAGGATGGTAAGAAGAGTTAAATTTTGTGGTTGAGAGAGAGCAGAGAGGTGATTTAGGAAAGGATTGAAGTGAAGCGGTGGTATTGGTAACACTCATTTCAGCCATTGGACAGGAGAACGAGGGAGTAGTGGGGAAGGCGATATGATAACAAATATAATTAGTATCGTATATGCTCTTTCCAATTCACTTTGTTATGCCCACACATATATGAGTTAGAGTCCGTTTGGATGGGCTTAAAAAAATAATTTTTAAGTTAAAAATAAAAAATCAAATTGAAACGATTTTTAAGTTAAAAATTAAAAAGTAGGGGAGACCTACTTTTGATTTCTGACTTATTTAAAGTCATTTTTTATATTTGTCAAACATTTTCAGAAGTCAAAAACTGACTTAAAAATAGGTTTTACCGACTTTTAAGTCAATCCAAACGGGCTCTTAGTGATGGTAATGGGTTGGTGTGGGGGCGGGTTGAGTTTAACCCGCCCCATTCCGCATAACATTTTTTCTCATTCTCAACCCCCCACCCCACATAGACACGCCTGCATGAACCGCCTCGCATGATTTTTTTAATTTTTTTTTCTAATTAAGTTTGATATTAAAAATAAAATTAATAAAAATAAATTTATTTTTTCATTAAGTTGTGTTTATTTAATAGATAATGATATAAAAAAAATATTTTTCAGAGGTCAATTGGGAAACAAGTAAGAAATTATATTATTTTTTATTAAATTATTTTCATTTACTATCTTGAATATTTTATTAGGTTTAAAGAAATTATATTAATAAATAATATTCTATCACTCTTATAACATGTAAAAAGTTAAAATAAATTTGAACCCGCATAGAATGACATATACCTACAACCCGCATTAGTTTTTAAAAAAACCAACTTTGACCCACCCCGCATCACTTCTGCCCCGCACAACCTTAAACCTGCACTGTCCCGCATAGCCTTAAACCCACCCCCACCCCCCACATCCGCCCTCCCCATTGACATCCCTAATATGAATAATATTACTTTGAGGGTTATTTATTGATTGATTTTGTGTTCGAGATTTCGAGCATTCCTACTAAAAATTACTTGATTTTGCCTTCCTTCCAGAGTTCCCAAACTGAAAAAATAGTAAGCATAGACGTGACGTAGCCAACTTGGAATTTCCTGTATTTTTAAAATTGGTATTCAGAAAAGTATTTTTAAAAAAATAACAATTTGTGTTTGATTAATTCATTTTTTTGGTTGAATTGTCAACTTTATCAAAACCAAAAAAGCATAATTAAAATTCTACAACAAACCATTGTAGCCAGGATTAAAGACTACTATCATAACTAAAGATTCACTTAAACCAGACAGGAGAAGACTTCTAATCAAAAGATAAACAAACAGACGCAGGCCTCATGGCAGATGATATATCTTCTTCAATGCCTCATTCCACTTCTTTAGGTTTCTTCCTCTAATATGAATGTATAAGCTAATCTCCTTGCATACACTATCGCATTGGTATGATGTATCCTGAAACGTGGTAGTATTTCTTTCTCTCCATATAACATAGACCACCATTGCAAATACACAATTGATTATTGCTCCATTAACATTACTCTTTGTTGCCCATCCATTTTCCCATGCAAGCTCATGCTTCCAGCTTCATATTTGTTTGTTTATGCCCAACCATTTCACTAATCTAGCCCAAAAGGCTCTAGTTGCAGGACACTCGAAATAGAGATGATCAAAAGTTTATATGGCATCTGCATAATAGCTACATTCCAGGGGCACATTTATGCCAAACTTTTGTAGTCTTTCTGTTGTAGCCAATCTTCTCCAAGCTGCTAACCAGAGAATAACTTAATGTCTAAGATGGACAATGCTCTTCCAACTTACTTTAGGATGTTGTGGTGTTAGATTGATGTACATTTGATGGATAGAGAATTTACTAACTACCACCACTCCATTCAACTATGATCCTAACTTGGTCCCAATATTTGCCTAAGGACCTTTCTGGTCTCCAGAATCTTCTGTATCACTCAAGTGGCATTTGATGAAATAGAGCAGTGCTCCACCTCCTCACGTTTTATATAGTAAGTATGTGTCCATTTGATCCAAAGACAATCATTTTTCTCATGCACTGCCCAAAACAACTTCAAGATGGCAACATTATTCCAAACTCTAAGGTTGATTATATTTTGACCCCCAGTTGACTTTGGGAGGCAAAGTTTCTCCCATGAAACCAGTGCTTCCCTAGAACTCAAAGTTGAACTTGTCCATAGACAATCTTTGCAAACCCCTCCAATCAATTTCAATATGTTTTTTGGTAATATGAAGATTTGTGCCCAATAAGTTTACATCCCAAGCACTAGTGACTTCAATATCTGGATCCTTCGTACATAAGAGAGTAATCTAGTTGTCCAGCATCTTATTCTTTCAGTTATCTTCTCCACCAAAGGCATACATTGAGCTATAGTGAATCTCTTAGAGGATATAGGCACCCCTAGATATTTTAACGACATCTCACCTTCAACATAGCCCAAAGTAGCTAAAATTGTTTTCTTCATATCAGGTTTCGCTCCACCAACATATATGGAGCTTTTCTCAGTATTTGCATGTAATCCAAAACCTACAAAAAATCTATGAAAAACATTTTGCATCAATCGTATAGAATCAATATCAGTCTTGCAAAACTTCAAGAGATCATCTACAAAGCAAATATGCATTTCTCCAAACTGCTTACACCTAGGATGGAACTTTAAATGAGGTATCTCCTTCAGCATACTCAAATCTCTTTGAAGATACTCCATTTCTAGGAAAATAAGTAGGGTAACATTGGATCTCCTTTCCTGATTTCCCTTTTTCCTTGGAACAATGGTGTTAACCCTTCATTAATGATTAATGAGTATGAAACTGTGGATATGCACTCCATTACCCAATTCACAAACTTGAAAGGGAAGCCCAGGCCTGTAAACAACTTTCTTAAAAATTCCTACCCAATGGAATCATAAGCCTTTCTTAAGTCTACTTTCATGGTGCATTTAGATAAACCTTTCCTATTGTACCACTTCAAAAGTTCATGACTAAACAAAATATTATCAATAATACTCCTTCCTTCTATAAAGGCAGACTAAGCAGGGTTTACTAGTGTGCCAATCACTAGTTTTATCCTGTTGGTGAGAACCTTTGTAATGAGTTTATAGATGGTCAAACAACATGCAATAAGTCTATAATCATTTATCTTGTTAGGTGTAGTTACTTTAGGGACTAAAGTAATAGTTGTACTACTAACTTCCTTATGCAACTTGCTAGTGTTAATGAACTCCATCACATCACCTGCTACATCCTCTTTGACAATCTCCCAATGCTTCACAAAAAACTCCATTGGATACCCATCTATTCTGGGTGTTTTATCCTTAGTCATTCCCCTTAGTGCATCACCTATTTCTTGCTCAGTCATTGGAGCAATTAGACTGCATTTCTGGTCATAGGTTAAACATGGGACTTTTCTAATAAGCTCTATATATGGGCATGGCAGTTGTTCTGTTGTTGTTCCCATAAGCTTAGTAAGAAAAGATATAAACTCCTTCTCCATCAAGTTAGGGTCTTGGAGCCTGTTTCAATTTGCATCATGAATTGAAGTAATGGTATTTTTGCTACTTTTCAGCTTCATTTGTGCATGAAAGTATTTCGTGTTCGCATCTCCATGTACTATTCATATGAAAAAGTGTTTGGATAAGCAAATTGTGTTTAGTTAATCTTTTTAAAAAAAATACTTTTGAGAGTCAAATTATGAAAGAGGATAAGTATACTGCACTTTTTATATTAAGATTATTTTATAGAGATAAATCATTTTAAATATTTATTATAAGAAAATTAATTAACTTTTATTTTTATTAAATTAAAACGTACAAATTTAAATTTTCAATCAATATTATAAATAGATGAATAAAAAAATAAATTAAATATTGATATAATATTAACATGATAATTTAAATATAATTACAAGCATAGTAAATTTGAAAATTATTCTACAAATTAAAGCACTAGATACGAAAAATTCACCACAAAGATAAATAAATATAAGAAATATATTGGTAAATATGTATATATGACAAAAATATGTTAGTGTTGAAATAAATAACTTCTTGCTTTTGCTTTTGTTTCTGCTTTTGTCTTTTTCAAGAAGCAAGAATTTTTAGTTGCTTCAAACTGCAGGAAAAAAATGTTTCTACTTTCATTTAAAAGCAATTTTGCTAATTAGTCAAACACCTTAATTTTCTTTAAAAGGTGTTTTTTTTTCCTGAAAATTAGTGTTTTGGGCCTCCCAATAGTAATGAATAGGCTCGAACTCATTTATCTTATGTGGTTATAGATTTGGTGCTTGTTTGGTTTCTTAATTGGAGGTTTAAGCTTTGATATAACTATTATTGTCAATTGATTCCTTTACTTATGTTAATCTCCTATTCTTTATCTTATTTCTTGTTTTTAGTGTTAGAGTGTCGTTTTCCATATTTTTATATTGTATTATTTGATATCAGAGCTTGGAATAAATTTGTTCCTACCAATGTAACAAAAATGACTCATGAAAAGCGAGCCACGAAATGACTTCCGCTCGAGTCGTCGGCTTCTGCATAAGCCAGTGGCTTCCACCTTCTAGCCACCTCCAAGTGGTTTTCGCGTTAACCTCCTCCAACTAGTAGCTTCTGCTCCTCATTCACGGTTCAGAGCCTCCTGTCACGACCCCAAAAATAGAGGTGATGATACTCGTCTTATCCCACCAAGACAAGTCGGCCTAAAACTCAACCGTAACGATAAAGTGTGGAAATAAAATAAAAATAAAAGTTTAATAACAATTAATAATGCGAATAACAAGTCAACTTAACTAAATCTCCAAAACATGGTTGTCACGTGTACAAGTCTCTAATGTATTACAATAGAATTGAAAGAAAGTATAGTAAGTCTCAAATGATTTCTCTGAAGTAGAACAAAATCATAAATAGGACTAAGAGGGTCCGTTAAGATGACAAGCAACTACCTCACAAATCTCCACAAAAAGCCTCGGAAAAAGAAGAGAAGAGAGAGTATCAAGGGGTGTGTACCAAACCACACGATACTCAACAAGCAAACTCCTAAACACAAAGTTAA